ACAAACTTCCGCCGTGCGGTAAGCATTACCGCGTCCTATGTGCAGGAACCATAAGTGAGTTGACCAACTACAATTACAAGAATAATCGACTATAATTCGTCAATTTATTTACTGCTTACGTCTTACTGTCCACTGCCAATCTCATTGTAAATGAACCTTTATGCTTCGTCCACAACAGTAGTAATGGCTTCTGCACACAGGACGCGGTAATACTTGCCGCGCGGCGGAAGTTCGCGCAACAGCCAATCAATATGCTGCTTTCCGTAATAACCTTCTAGCTCTTACGGAAAAACAAGATATTGATTGGCTGTCGCGAAAACTTCCGCCGCACAGCAAGCATTATCGCACTCTGTGTGCAGGAGTTATTACGGTATTTCTCGACATTACGTTTTACGTTTTAAGCTGGCCACACACACTTTTCGTAACAGTAATCGTAAGACGTAATGTAAGAATTGACCAATCATGTTGAGAATCGTCGAATCGTAAGGTCGCCATTTTTATGAATACTCGATCGCAATTAGTCAATTCTTATGTTACACCTTACGGTTACTGTTACGAAAAGTGTGTGTAGCCAGCTTAAGGTCCGTCTACAATAGGATTGGAAGTAGGCAGTAAAACGTAAGTAGTAAACAAATTGACTAATCATAGTCGATTATTCTTGTAATAATCGTCTGTAGTTGGTCAACTCGCTTACTGCTTTTGTCTTAAAGCTACTGCCAATCCCATTGTAGATGGACCTTTAAGCCCATTCTACAATTGCGTGAATGTGGTTGTAAGTGGTTGTATGTGATTACGACAACCAATCAGAATAAAGCAATCAGTAAATAAAACATTCGGATTGGTTGACTCTTACGATCACGACTACGCTTACGCAATTGTAGAATGGGCTTTAAAGCTGGTGGCACATAGAAAGTAAGCAAATCAGCCATCATAGTCGTTGATTCTTGGACCATAAGAAGAATCAACGATTGTGATGGGTCAATTTGCTTACTGCTTACGTCTTACTGCTTAAGTTTTTCTGTGTGCCACGGCCCTTACGGACAAAATTAGAGGGGATACGAAAAGCCAAATACTCGATTGGGATTGGCCGATTTTCTTACGCTTATGTCTTACGTCCTTACAAAATTTAGTGTGTGATGGCCTTGATATATACTATAGTATTTCTAGTAATAGAGTGCACCTGGATGAGGAATCTGAACGCAGCCCAGTGCGCACTAGTGCAAGCAACCGAATTTGCTATAAAGGCCGGTTAATGATGGCCGTAATCTGTTAACTTATGCCGGTACCGTAAAAAATTGATCAATCATAATCGAATTATAGAAGAATAATCGAGTGTGATTGGTCAATTTTTTACGATTCCGGTATAAGTTAACGGATTACGGCATCATAAATCGGGCTTAAAGCCAGCGGCACACGATGCTTGTGGTGCTTGTTTTTATACTGGATTACTTGCTGGATGGAAACACTCTGTTCTAATTGGTACATTTCTGAAGATGAATGAAAATACACCAATCAAAACAGAGTATTTCCATCCAGCAAGCAATGTAGCACGAAAATAAGCACCGTGTGCCACTGGCTTAAAGGCCAAATCACACTAGCGATTAGCGATTGATAATTGACAATTAAAGATTAGATTTTAACGAATCAACAAGCTTCAGTCTTGGCTTGCATTGTTCCAATTGATCAAGTTACAATCTTCAATCATCAATCATCTATCGCCAATCGTTAGTGTGATTTGGCCTTTAAGAGTATATACCAATCAAGTTCACGAATTATATACAGTTGAAAAACAGCTTCTATGCTGAACACAGTTATCGCTTAAATATTCCTAAGTAACTTGTAACAACTTCTAGTGATTGACATTTTTAATGTCGAATCACGTATAAAATACGTGTGGACTTGACAAAAGACAAAAAATGAAGATGTTACGGTGATTACAATCGCTGTTGACGAGTTTGTTGTAAATAGTAGTTAAAAATAAAATAATAATATGTAAATATAATGTTAGGTTAAGTTAAGATACCCCTTCCAGTCAATCATCAGTGTATGTATACATTGCATTTATGCAAGCGAAAATTCCATCAAAATACTACATGCGTTTAAATTAATTTTATTTTAATTCTATTAGCAATTGAGACAATTATAATATTTATTACTTAATTTATTTATTAACATATGTATATATATATTTTTTATTTGTTATAACAATAGTACCTTATATAGTAGAAACATGCTGCAATATTTAATAGTATATTAATAATGCAATTGCAAGCGTATGGCAGACAAGCTCAATAGCAACACAAAAAAGTTGCGTAAGAAAAGTCAAATACTACTGGCAAAAGTAGATGAAGATTCTAAGAGAGTCGATACTGAAGTGAAGAAGTTGCGTTCACAAATATTGTAAGTACCCTTTGTTTACGATTAAAAGTAAACTGTACTCACAGAAAACTATCATTTTACTGCTAAGAAAAGCAATTATTCAATTTACTTTTCTTCTTTAATGTAATAGTTATTTTTAACAAATAATATGTTCTTGATAATAGTTCTAAAATATAGTTCTCAGCAAATATTGACTAATAGTAATGTAGTAACATATATACTAATAGTAATATAGACATCAATGTTATAATTTCTTATTGAGCAATATAACTGTTATGTACATGTGTTATATTATATTTATATTGCTGTACTTATGAGCTCAGACAATTTTCTGTGTTTATGTTTACATTTCTAGTCAGACTCTATAAGTAGTACTATTTAAAATAATGCTGCAAATTTGATATTAAATATTAATAAAAATAACATCTTTGATATATGTTAAATTTGATTAAAATCCTCTATAATATCATGAAAAAAGTTACATATTTTAAAAATTCAAGGTGACATGGATTTTTTATGAAAGAAATCTTTCAAATTTTTTATTGCAAATAGTAACTTACAAAAAACGAATGAATATTCATATTACAACAATTTCTTTAAACTGTTGAAAGCATCTAAAAAATCATGCAGAAAAACCATTATGCTGAATTAAGTTTATGAAATACTTGAAATACTTGAAATACTTGAAACAAGTAACATTTATTTGAGTGCAGCATGTTTTTGTCTATGTGTACCTTTCCTTCAAATAAGTCATGTTATTTATAATGTCTCATTATTTCTCAGGCTCTTTCTTTATTTTCACAGATCTCTTGTAAATAACCATATACGCAGAAGTCAAAGTGATCACGTAGGAAAAAACGTCAGCTCGTGGAAGCTACGCAACGACTCGAGCGAAATCAGTGCTGTTTTATGTCCGGATTACTACCGCTTTAGTTCGAGACGTGCGACTACATCGGCACCAGACATGACATCTTCTGCAAAACTGACATTGACATCTAAGAAACAATGCGCGAGGATCGCACCCAGGAAGCCGGTGAAGGAATGTTACTGTTACACGGAAGTAAACAAGGCGAACTTAAGATCGAGGATTAGGCGGAAAGCCTCACCTTGTCGCCAGTGTAGAAGCCAGTTCGAGCTCAAACCAGTTAAAGAAACCGATGACAGAGCGTCGTTGATCTCGCCGATCAGCTGTGAGACATACAGGAGAGTTCGCAAAATCGACTACACCCCTAGATCTCAGTTCCTCCGTAATGTGCAGACCAGACTCTGCGAAACTTGGCAGAGCGGAGGTCGGGGTGACTGCTCGCAAACATGTCCTCGGTCATCAAGCTATCACAGGGTCATGGCGGGCGTGAAAGTGCAGAATGTTGACTCTGATCGGCAAACGACACTATTGAAGGAAGCTAAACTCCTCGAGGAACAGAAATCTCCGGCGATCCCGAAGGCGCCCGCCAACTCGATAGCCAGCGAGTCGGATCGCGATAACGTCGTCTGCAGTTCGAGCAAGGAAACTCGAACGTCCTCGCGGAGGCGGCCCAAGCCAACGTTGAAGAAGATGATCTCCTCCAAAAGACCAAAGTCGAGATCGCCGGCTCGAAGTGAACGGACGTCGCGATCGACGCATGACTACCATTGTTGTTGTAGAGACGAATCAGAAGAAACTACGAGATATATTGGAGACAAACGCGAGAAGAAACATTTACCAAGATATCGTGAGCAGAGAATTCAACGCACACACTCGAGATACGACGGCGATCCGGTAGCTGATGACATATCGGCAGACGATCCTATCGATAAAGAAGTAAGAGACCTGAGAAGATTTCGAGAGCAGAACTACTTCGAGACGCACGGATCAAGCCACACGTTGGTGTCATCAAGGTCGTCGGGATCGTTGGAGCAGTATCTGCTGAACGAGCGACTATTTCCGGAGCCGGTGGGCAAGATCCACAAGCAAGATTTAGTAGTGACGATGCCGCCATGCGCGACGACAGAGAGAAAACGTATCCATTACTTCCCCAGGCACGTGGTGCGTCAAGAAAAGAACGTGTACAATACGAATTACAGACGGAAACGGCACCAGAGCTGTCCTCTGACCGGCCATACCATCGACCTCGGGATCCTGAAAGCCAAACTGCCATTAAATAGCTTAGCGCTCAAATATCAAAAGTACTGAATACATTATCAGGCTCTTAAATGCATAATCAAATTTGGATTGAAAAAACCAATAAAAGCCCACACAAGATATCGAAACACACTATATCCGCGAATAAGAAACTAAAAAACATCGAGCGCTCCGGAAAATCGACAAAACATTTCGTTCCTCGTTTCGGCCTTCCTTAGAAACGGGAAAAATAAATAATATATAAGTATCGTACAGCAACCTCACGACTTATGTAGAATAATAGCAAGGACTCTCGATACCTCAAAAATGGCATAATAGTGATCAGTCATTCTCATGTCATTCTTGAAGTATCGAATATCTTTCCTATCCTATTTGTATCTTCCATTTGTGGCAAGTCGGTTGCCGTAAAATACTTATATTATTTATTGTATTCATTTCTATATTAAAGAAGGTTAAGATGAACGAAACATTTTGTTGATTTTTTAGAGTGTTCAGTGCCCTATTTTTTTATTCTTTTGTGAATACAATGTGTTTCGCAATATCGACATCTTACGTAAATTAACTACGTAAAGTAACTACATCTTTTTTTCTTTATATATGTTTAATTATCAGAAGAGAGGACTCCTTGACGAGACGGAATGTCCCAAGTGAATCCCTCCTGTCTCTTTTTGCGACAGACTTTTGCTTCGATGCACGAAATAAAATAACTTTTCTATCTTGAGACTTGGAAAAAATATAAGTTTGTAATATATTTTTTTATATGTCTATACACTTTTATAATTAACAATTTGCATAAAAGTAAATTCATTTTACGTCCCGCAGAGGTGGATGTAGTTCAAAAATTCGCGACCAACGTCACATTCATCAAACTATTACTTATGCGAATAAATAAGATTGTTATTAAATTTGTATTCTCCATCTGAAGAAATTGTTCGGCGTTATTTCGTCATCTTATTCAAAATATTAAATACGATAAGGAAAACTATATATCTGAATGAAATAAATAAACAAGTTAAGCATGAACAACGCATTCTTAATATAAAAGCGATAAACACAACGTACACAGTTACGTACGTATGCAGTTTAATTTACATAATATTATTATTTATTTCTTCTTCCTATTACATTAATAAGCGATTCGCATTATCATATGCTGTATATTATATACACTACCTGTCTATGATTATGTGTACTTGCGGTAGCAAGAATAATTTTCGAATTGTTCGAACAATCTCATTGTTTTTTGTTCAGTTTTCTGAATTTTTAAGAGATCATTAAAAGAATTCGATTAAAGGAGAATCTCATCAATATCAGATAAAAAAAATCTTGGTTACATATTTACATTTTTCTCCACTAAACTTGACTTCAAATATCTCCTGGAATTCATTAATTTCTAATGAAACATGTAATTGAAATACATTTATGTACAGTTAGTAACACGAGAGTATGTATGCTGTTTTTTCCCAGAATACAAAGTTTTTTTCAAAATTAAGAGCATAGTTTTAACGTATGTGATATGCACTAAAATACGTACCCGTTTATCTAGTATAACGTTCTATTCCTTTCATTGTTGAATATGCCTTGACATTATCGAAGTATGCTCTTAACGAAATTTTCCTCTAATATCTCGGATAACAATATTCATTATGCAAAGCTGACACAACAACTGTTTCAATGTGAAAACTCGTTCTCGAAACTTTATCTTTATGGTTGTCTATGTTTTTTCAATAGGATTAGTGTCGATAGCTGTGAAAGTCAATCCATTGTAATGATGTTTTCACATTTCCATTCCGTACATGTTCGATTTCTGTGTTTCGAAGTCTCCATTTGGTGTTATCAAAGCAATACCTTTTTTAATTAACAATTTTTGAACCGTTGCAATGTATATTCAGGGTGTCCCAGACTCTCCTTCTCGCATTAAGTGGGAATGTAGAACGGGTTAAGGTGAACATAAAAGTCTTATACCATTTTACGATATTTGCAATAATAGTCGAGATATTAATTAAAAAAGATTGGTGAATAATCACGCGCGATATGGTAAATGAGCAGTGGCGTCGTCTGCCATTGTATACTTATATATTAAGTCAAACTAAACAAAAAAGTCCTTTGCCATTTTGTAAATGACCACATAGGTTTTTAGATATTAATTAAAGAAAATTTATGCATTATGGTACACAATCATATATGTAACAATTTTCTTTAATATCTAAAAATCTATGTGGTCACTTGCAAAATGATAGAGGACTTTTTTGTTCAGTTTGACTTAATGTATAAGTATTACAACGGTAGACGGCGCCACTGCAACTCATCTACCATATCACGCGTGATCATTCACCAATCTTTTTTATTTAATATCTCGACTATTATTGCAAATATCGCAAAACGATATAGGACTTTTATGTTCACCTTAACCTGTTTTACATTCCCACTTAATGTGAGAAGAAGAGTCTTAAACACCCTGTATATGTAGAGTTTTTCTAAAAAATTATGACAGACACTAACAAAACTAAGACTTAAAGCATTCTAATTTAACGTATTATCAAACTTATCGCATGAAAATGTTGCGTACTAGATACTAATTGTTGAAATTATTGCATAAGTATACGCTCTTGTGTCACTGACTGTATCTTAAAAGAAATAAATATTAAATATAAGAAGAAGAGAAAGTATGTCGAATGAGAACCTTGAAATCTTAATAAAACCCAGATAACATAGAGAATTCAAAAAGAACTCAGTCGTATGTCACCAATTCTGAGTTCATTTTTAGATGCAAAAAGAATTCTCTTCATTCCACTGAACTCTGAAGAATTCTTTTTGCATTTGAAAATAAATTTAGAATTGGTGACATACGACTGAATTCTTTTTGAAATTTTTTTAAATTCTCTGTGCTATCTGGGAACTTGTATATTTCAATTAGTTACTACAGCTCGTGTGTATAATTACTTTCGAATCTATATGCCAAGGTTGCAGCACAATTTAAAATAAAATCACTTTATTTATAACATTTCGTTTAGCAATAACCTTAAAACAAATAAGTTAATAAAACAGTCATCAAGTAATAGCTTCTTGATAAGTAAATGACCCTCGTGCACTTAAACTTCTGGCGATATATTTTGCGCTGTGACGATTTTTATCATAATATTAAACATGTCGTCAAGAATTCTCTTTAGAGACCTCAAGTAATAAGTTGCACTGCTATATAACATCATAAAAATGTGCATCAATAATTTAGTGAACATTTAATTTTTTTCCAATACATAAATAATGCATTATTGACGAGTAGAAATGTAAGATAAAAGCAGAAGAATAACGATGAATTATGCAAAGATTTAAAATTGACTGAATAAATAAGTAGTTATAAAAAAAAGAACAAAACGAATGGCTCTCTTTCTCGAGCAACTCAAAGTATTGGGCCAATATTAAATCTAGTGGCCAATTATTGATCAACGTGTTATTAAAAGAGAACTTAAATGATTTAGATCTAATTTATTTTGCTATTCGTCGACCTGTTCTGTATTTTGTGTATTATAATATATAGAAATGCGTAAATGTCAATGTCAGAACTTCATTAAAATTCGGTTTCAGCCGAGTGAATGGCTAACTCACGAATCGACTCACGAAAGATGCATACGAATATCCAATTATCTCAGATGACATTGTGAATCATTTTTAAACATCGTTCCACAATATCATTTATATATTATTTTCAAAATAACATGTTTTTTAATGGAAAATACCTATGTATCTAATGTTCATGTTCATGTTCTGTCCATACTTAAAGTTTTGTATTGGAGACTTAAACGTAACTATGACACAATGAATAATCAGCAAAGACCAAAAATTCCAAATGATGAACATGCCAATGCAATTCGCGATTCGTAAATGTAATTTTAATGTTTGTTTTAAAAATCAACAAAATATTTGTAAAATAGAAAGTAGTCCGAAAATTAAGTAATAGAGCATCATCTTATAACACTTAGAAGAAGAATTATCAATTTCCTTATCGTTTTCGTTATTTTCCACGTGTTTTCTGCGACATAATTCGTCAATTAATTATATTAGAATTTGAGGAAATGGAAAGAGTTGAAACAAAAATGATATATAAACAGAATAAATAAACAATGAGAATATCTCCCAGGGACATCCTAAAGATATCCAGAGGACATCCCTATGTCCTAAAAATATCAATAGGATATCCATAGAATATCGTATGCTGGAATCTCGTGAGCAGAAATATGACGTAATCAGTATCCTTCTCAAATAATTATTATAAATCGTATTAGTTCCATATATCAGAAGTCGTTAAGCCTAGATGTGTCGCACGAGAGAGCGGCAAGATTATGTAAATATATATATTTATAGATGTATCACAATATAATAATAAATGTGTTCGGTTTTTTGTAAGTTAACTCATTTATAGCAACTGTGATTACCAAACTTTGAATCTTCGCGGCTATTACTATTGACCTTCCCACCCCGCACGCCCATTTGCAGTTGAATGTTAGTACAACAATGCCGTATATATCGATCTAGCAGTAAGAGCCGAATAGCATAGCTCTCTTCTTTCGACTTTTACCGCTAAATCGACATGTACGGCATTGCTGGCAAAATAGCGATAGGGTCATAATACACGATGAAACATAAGCAATAAAACGTACGAAATTTATTCATCTACCATAAACCCAAAATGCTTAAAATTATATAGAAATTAATCATAACATTTATCGTAATAAAACACATTCACAGTTAAAGTTTTATGTGATCTGTTTGCATCGTTCATGAAAAATGATACCATTCAAATAAAAAACTTAGCATTATAAACATAAGAAACATGGCACAGAAGAAATAATAGTACTCACTGTTTTTGTGTAATGGTCCATTATAAGCTAGAAAACGACTATTTTATGCTTTGAATAGCATTATATACTGAGTGAAATGTAACAAAGTAGCATCATGAAATTAGTTTCAAATTAACATTTATTATTTAGGTAGTGAAATAAATATATAAGAAATTAATTTTGTTTAATAAATAGTGAATTTATAAGTAGCTTCCTTGATGCGCTATTAAAACTATTCCTCTTGAACGGCTTAAAAAAAAATATATATATATATATATATATATATATATATATATATATATCGTGAATAAACGCCTTAATTAACCTCGTGAATAAACTCCTTAAACAGTAAGAAAGTTGACCAAACACAATCGATTATTTTTTAATCATAACAAAAACTATAGATTATAATTAGTCCATTTGTTTATCTACCAAGTTTTACGGTTTATATTTTTCTGTATGCTCCCGGCCTTGTAAGCAACGCAAAAGAGTTTGATTATGAGTAAGGTTTGAGTCTGGTTATTATTATAGGAATCTCAGGTGGGGCGAGCGACGCTTAAATAGACCGCTTGAATGTCCATGTTCGTCCAGTTCTCTTTCAACAGCCACTGAAAATTTTCATTCGTGAAAGTTGTTTGACTTCCGGTCAGTGTTACACGTATTAACGTGAAAAAAAATATTCAAAGATGATGAAGAAAATAACTGTCTCCTTCTTGTTGGTGTTCGCGATCACTGCGTTAGAGTTACGTGAGTAATTACAAAAATGTCCTCTCATTCTCGACTGTGAAATATTTTTCATCGGTTTTCATTATTCTATATATTCTAATAACAGAATGCCTGAAAACGGCTACTGAGTTGACAAATTTTGCATTTTCCGTGTAGTCGAGAAAGAATGTTAAATATACGAAATAATACATTTATATTGTTATTATCGCTTTTTAATTAAAGAATATTGATTTGAGAAGAAATTCGTACACATACATGTACAACTATCGCCTGAACAACTGTCTAATCGATACACAGTCTTGTTTAATTTGCAACAATGCACTCTTTCAATGAGGGCATAATATAATGAGTTATACGAAATATGTAAATATATCTTTTTATTCACACAATTTAGCCAGCAACATTAAGATTTGTAAGCAAAACGATTCGCACGTCGACAAATGTTTAGCCGACGCAATCAAAACGGCAATAAGCGTTTTGGCCAAAGGCAAGTGCACATATTACTTTTTATCGCGCGATATATGCAATATCATAGATAAAAAGATTTGATGAGAAGAATGGATTGATATAAAAAAAGACATACACAGAGAAACATAAAAATGAATTTTATTGTATTTTGCTGGTGCATCTATGGTGTATCTACAAATATTAGTAACATCAATCGATTGCTCTTAATATTCTATGTATGAAAGTATCAAAATAAGAACTTCGAAGTGAGTGTTTTATGAGATATTTTGTTTTATTAGAATAAGAGATTTCAAATTATCTAAAGAATCTCTGGAAAAAATAAAGAGTGCAAAAAGAAGTGAAAAAAAGTGATAGAAGTACTAACATTTTCCCACTTCATTTCGAAAAAATTTGATACTCCTCTTTGTGTCACTTCCTTCTTTCTTATTCTTCCATATTTTTACATGGTTCCTTATACTTTAGTTATATGGTTCTTCTCCCGTACTTTCCGCTACTCTTCTTTTTTCTTTCAAGATAGTAACATTCAAGAACTCCTGTTTTATCTACAGAAAAAACATTTTCTATATTCTTCGTTACTTTCTGGCATTCTTTTCTGTCACACAACAGTCCTACATTCTTTTTTAACCATTAGGTTATTTAACTTAATTTAACCATTATTTTCTAAAAAAATTCTGTACATATACTCTCTGTCACTCTCTGCGAATCCAAGCTTATAACATGTATAAACAAAATATAATATATCTCTCGATAGAGGAAGTGGCGCAGTGAGTAAAGTAGATGACTCACGATCTAGAGATCCCGATTTCGTAACGCAAACATGTGTTTCTCAGATACAAATATAATTAATTTATATATGAATAAATAAATAATAATGAATAATAAATTAATAATATAACACCTAATCAATTAAATGGTTACTTTCAGGCAAAATCATTATAGACAGACAATCTAAACTAAGAATGGTTTTAGTTCAGAAAAAAAAGTAATAAAGTCTAAGTTTCTAGTCTAAATATAAATACGATTTTGTTATTTTTTATTGTTAAATCTAATTTTATTATTTATTATAATACATATGTAGCAATAATTCATGCAATGAACTGAACTATCGATCAATATGTATGAAGGAATGAAATCGTGTATTATGTAATTCTAGCTTTACACTCTTCGTGCACTTCTCTTTAAATTTCCATGCACTTTTTTTATTTTCGTCAGAATTGTGGTTTTCCATTTTCCTAATGCTGTCACAATTTTTGATCGCAAACAATTGATGTCAATTTACTGTTGTTTACATGTAGGTAATAGGGAGTTAAAATTTCTTCCTTTCGACCCACTGAATGTTGATTTCATAAGTATGAAGAATGGTGGCGCATTGTCACATGAATTTCATAATTTGACGATTCACGGATTATCGAAGAATGTACAAATCTCCGTAAAAAAGTACGTAATTCTCGCTCGACTCTATTCAGTCGTCAAATCGACTTAAGTGCGAAATAGTCTTTCGATCAGAGTTTTCACTTAGAATGTGGAATTACAAGAAATAGAATCTTCCAACTAGAGTTCTTATTTGGATGTTAGAATATTTTCCTTTTAGTTTTAAAAGAATCTTTGTGAAACCATATATAAGAGCATTTTGCTAAGAATAAGATTACATTCTTTTGGATATAAGTAAATCCGACAATAAATATGACCCAGATAATGTGCTGTGTCAGCTTTATGATCTCCTTATTAAATTAAATTTTGAGTTTACGCAAGTTTACGCGAGTTTTATACGCAAACAATAGATTAAAAGAGCAAAAATTTTGCTGAAAGAGCAAGATCAATTGGTTTGTTATGTACTTTATAACCTTGAAATTGAGTTTATTTAATACAATTTAAGATATTTCGATGATAAATCTTTTTTATAGTATATATGTAACCATAATTATATGATATAATCTTCTTTCTTCTTAGTTTTAACAAAGATACACTCTCACTCGATATGGAAGCTTTCTTTCCTCAAACGGAAGTAATTGGTAACTACACAATAAGTGGCAGGATTTTGCTGTTGCCGATTCATGGAAGGGGCAAATGCAAAATCATATTATGTAATTTATTCAATTCAATAAATACAAATAAAGTAAAGTTAATAATATCGTAATAATATCGTAAAGTTAATAATCGATCGCACTGTATTATTTTTCAGCTAACATGACGGTGGAATTCAAAATAAAGAACGAGATATATGATAAGAATGGGGAAGAGTATTTAAGATACAAGAAAATTGATTGTCATATCAAGCAAATAGATATCAAATCACATTTTGAAAATCTCCTCGGCGGAGATCCCAAATTAGGTATTTTCATTACGCAATCATATTTATATTATTTGTGTACAATAGGTTGCAAGACAGTTTAGGCACGATAAAGTTTATTGTCAAAATTGAAAGTCGTTACTGACGGGCTAATATATTATTATTTATTATTAATATTAAAATTATCTTAATTATCGTATTAATTATATTATTTTTACATAAATCCATCGGTAATGTCTCTCAATTTTGACAGTTTGACGAGCAGTCAATTTCATTGTGTCTAAACTGTTTACAACCCACTGTACACTTATCCTCAGAAAAGAGATAATTCATACGCATAATTTTTTCGTCTCAAAGTATTGAAATATCTATCCGAAAAAAGTGGCAAACTTTCAGTTTCACCATTTGTAGTTTAATATTGTACTATTCATGTTTTGTTAGACTCAATTAATTTATTATTAATTTGTTAAAAATGTGTCAATTTTATACTTATTTTTACTTTGTACTATTTCTTTATTAATTGTTTCTATACTTTATTGGTTGTAGGCAAGGAGGTGAATAAGCTTATAAACGACAACAGCAAAGAGCTTTTCAATGATTTTAGATCAGCTTATGAAAAGATCTATAAAGAAATCATCTCTAGAGCCATCAATAATATTTTTAAAAAGATACCGTTGAAGAAACTCTTCCCGTACGAATAGATAAAAAATCACTTCATCATTAATTCACCTATGTTCCCCTCAATAAGACTTATTAACATAAAATAGCTGCCAAATGCCAAAAAGAAGATAAAACATCCTACATAAAAATTTCGAATGATTTTGCATAACAAATCATTGTATGTGTATGTATGTTTGCGAATTGCACGCTTATGTAATCTTTTCACTACATTTCTTTGCCTATTCGTTTCTATTCCTTTTCTCTGTTTAATATTCAATTCCCGTCTTATTTGTGTATTTCTTTTCAATTCTATATGATAAAAAAATATTTTGTATTTGTGCTGAAATTAATCCATGTACTTTTGTGCTAACTTTTTAACATATTCTATTTTTTATTTTAACATATTATTTTAACATATGTGTTAGCTTAACATATTATCATTGTGATTTTGTAACTTTGACTATTCTACGTTAAGTTTCCAGACAGCACAATGCCCAAACTGGGACATAAGATGCCTTTAAGACATCTTTAAGATAACTTAAAGACGTCTTATGTCCAAACGTCTTAAAGTCGACTTAAAGACGTCTTAAAGACGTCTTATGTCCCAGTTTTGGACATGTGTGCTGTCTGGGTTCATAATTCGTTATATCTAAATGTTAAAATAACACAATTATACTCATATAGCACAAATCTCTAAAAGACTTCTTAAAGAATTCCAAAAATATTCTGAAGGACTTGGGAACTTTTTCGAACTCTTTAAGAAGTCTTTTAGAGATTTGTACTATATGGGTATGCGACATATACATTCTTAGTGACGCATTTTATATGTATAAAATGTGTACAGATAAGTTGCGCTATTTGTTAACATATTTTTATTGCGTTAAATTAACATAAAATTAAGATGGATAAATTGGCATATGTGAAATGTGTTCAACTTAATATAAATTTTTTTTACAGTATACTATATGTGTACAGATAAAATTCGAAATAACTTCGTCAGAATTGTAGAATATAGAAAATCGTAAGGCTCTTTAAAATGTAATAAGATAAAGTGTAATAATATAAAACACAATAACAAATAGCAAGATTAGAGCTTGAGAGCAGTATACAAGTGTGCACACACACAGTGATATACACACGCATATGTCATAACTTTAAAATATTATAGTATATAGAATGCACAAAAAGATTCATCTGAGACACTAAGTGCTGCTTTAGATTTTCAAACGACAAGTTCCTCGCGTTCTCATATGTTAGAAACAGATCGATACTACGATGGAAGAAAGACGAGATTCGTCATGTTCTCGGCTACTCATTCAATTGATCGATTGAGTCAGAGAAGGCCGATTTCTCTTTCATCGACGTGAGGTTCGCTGTTTCATCGAGATCGCAAATATCTCAGAGAGCCTTCATTTTTCACACCCTTTCCCGCCCAATCAAACATGTCGATTAATAATCCAAAATTTTATTTTCATTGTCATTTCAGCGTCGATCTAACTTTCTTGATAATGCAGTTTATCGATCAAGCAAGATGATAATTCTGCTGCTGCTATATCCACCAGTTGCTTTATCGACTGATCATCATTTAGATATCATTCGAACGTAAACTAAGTATCAGTACATAGAATATTGTTTTTTCGATACACTGAATTATTTGCTCTACTGAAGAGAACTCACGTTACTCGTTAGTTCTTTCAAAAAATAATTTTTTTTTTTCAAAAAATATTTCCTTTCATTACATAATTATGTAAAATATAAGTCAATTTAAAGAACACGCAATTTATTTGAACATTATTGAAAAACGCTGATATATCGAAACATTGCCGAGTTCTTAAAATAAGGATTACTTCATAAACAAGTAAGAGATACCGATTATATAAAAAATAAGTTGATCGTCTAATTTTTCTACTTTGAACCAATTTCTCTAAATAGCAAAGCAGATGAATTGACTTGTGCATTTCATTAGTCTCTCTCTCTTTCTCTCTCTCTCCCCCTTCCTCACACACACACACACACACACACATTCATTACATATCTATAAATTCGATCCAGAGAAGCTATCTTGAATTAACGCAATTAGATATAGAAAAATACTGTAGATTGTTTAAATATTATTTTGCGTATGCGATACTATCTAATAAGCCAACAAGTCAGCTTTATTAGACTCACCGAGAAGTCGCCGATAAGCCGATAAGTCGAGTCAGTTTTATGAATACCTACGCGTTCAACGGATATTGATTGTGTAAGTGTGATACCAGGGATATATAAATGTCATTTCGTCAATGCGTTTCTCAATTAATGTTATAATATAATCCGAGTATGTATTTCTATACACGATTATCCACACACTCGCGGATATTACCCAAACGACTAGATAGTAAATAGAGTTATGAGTACATTCGTTTATGCAGTACATTCGTTCATTACTTGTTATTGTTGAAAAAATTAACAACTTAAATATGTTAAATTATTCAATATTTAAGGCTTTCGCCTAAATTATTTCATGTATTTAAATTTCATATATGTTAATTAACTTTAGTCGCAGGTGACTTATGTGTGGAAGGACGCAAGATAAAAATAATTGAAAATCTTTCGGTCCGAGTGAAGTCCTCAAGTTAATATATTCGAGCAATATCCAAAAGATACAAGTACCCGGATACTCGGAGTAGTCGAAATTGACAGCGCTAATCCCGATCAATCCGACGATTTTTTGCTCTCTTTGCTGCTCTGCTTGCGCCAAATGAGCTCGACAGTGCTTCAGCAGCTGCAAATTGAGCAATTCACATGCCGAATCGGTAATGAGCCCATCCGACGTCCGATTTTTCCATTCGGTCAATTTTACTCGCGGCAACGAGTCCCTCTTTGGTAACGCCCGCTTTTTCCTCGCATCTTTCTCTTTCTCACCTGCCCGTCCCGCGCTTTTTCGGTTCTCCCGCGCCGCGGGTGGCGTCAACCGAGAAAGAGAAACGTCAAGCTGCTCAGACATCAGCTTAACTCATAAGGCATACCGACAAGATTGCTTTTATCTCCCCCTCTCCCCCACGATGGAAAATTATATTTCATTTCAAGGAGAATAATTACGAAAACACTACATGTCCGTGTTACTAATGATTTTCCATAAACTACCGTCTCGTGAATTTCGATCTCCATACAACGCATCCTACACACTTGAGTTTCGAACCTTTCCTTTTCACTTGCAGTACTTTGCCCCTTGTGATGAAATATTAAAGCCGAACTTCTGAGACGAACCTTCGGCGATTCCCCCCTTCGTGTCCGCTGACGTTGGACGGACAAGTATTAGAATATTCATGCGCGCAACGCAAATGTAGCAGCACACATAAAGACACTAATAGCCGCCGCCGCCTCCTCGCGATCGTCGCGGTTGTACTCAAGCACGCTGGGGACGACGACGATTTCGCAACATGCCGCGGAAGGTCGACCGCGGACGAGCAAACGATTGTCTGCCGCTTTGTAGGCCGCTAAAACGCAGGTGTTTCCCGACATAGGCAAGGCTGCTTGCGCGGTAGTAGCCAGACGCGGACGTTTCTTCACGACTGATTTGCCTCTCGCAAGGACGCACGTCTAGCTTAGACCCATCTTGGGGTCGCCCCAAAGATGGGATTCGCGGGCTCGCGTGGTCAGAAATAGTAGCGACCAAGATTACGATTTCCGCGCGAGACTGCTAGAAATTTATAGCAGTACGATTTTGGCGAGCGATTTGCATTGCATATAAACATCGCGCGGGGGTGGCGAAGAATAACGACGTAAATAGATATTGGACGACTGATATCGATGTGGTAGAACTTATTTATCACCCGATAAACTATTGGAATAGAATACAATATTGGTTTCTTGTGCTTTAGAATAGTATATCCAATTAGAGAAATATACAAGTCGTCACGCAAAAGTATAATAAGAAAAAAATAATATTTATTTAAAGATGCTGATAAAAAAAAAGATAAGTAAAAATGGAAAGAAGAACAGGATTAATATAAAAATACGCAGATTGGAGACGAAAATTAGATGGATAAAATGAGATGAATGGTAATGGATGAGATGAGATCTAATGAGTTAATACAGAAGTATAAAAAAAAAGATGCTAAATATTTTCTTCCTACCTGATACACATGTTTTCATAATCATGCGTTAAACTCACGTGTAAGAAAATCTAAATGTATAAAGTTGTTTTATGTGCTTTTTACAAACTTCAATTATTTCCAAGTACGTGTTTTCTCATTTTTACACACTTACTGTACTACGTGTAACATTGCACACGACGAAACGTATTAAACTTTAACCCTTTAAGCACGGACTACGACTGACCGTGGAGCTCATGGTTAAGGCGCATAATTCATGGAACATTCTAGTAACTTTTTTTAATGAAATATTGTCAAAAATACTCTAAATAGCACATTTATAAAGTTTCAACTGCCCGATCCTAAGTGGTCCTTATTGATACCAATGATACTTAAAGGGTTAAATGTCTAAATTTATCTTTTTATGCAGTATAGTGCACCTGTAATGTGGTGTAATTTTTATATATCAAACCAAATAATATATATATATATATATATATATATATATATATATATATATATATACATATAAATACATATAAATGTGTATTTACTAAACATTTGAGTTTGCAGTTGCTAATCTTCTTATTATAGATGTTATTTAACATGTTCGTTACCAGTTGATTTGGGAGACTTTCTCCCCAGACCATCGTGTTTTTTTCTATGTAATTGCATAAAACAGACTTAATTTGATAACGTGGACAAAAAAATTTGCCGTGTCGCGTTACGCCAGTAGCGAACGCGTCAATTTCAGCGTAACTATATTGGATAGAGAAACTTCGGGGTACCAGAGAGAAATACCGTCTACCGGATGACGCTATTAGCAGAGCGTCTCTCTCGACCTGGCCGAATTTGACGTGAGATTCTTCCCGGTTCTTCCGCGACGCGCATTTCGCTCGTCGCGCGAGGAACGCGCCTTTCGCCGCGAACGCGCTGTCGGAATGCGCGCGATTGGAATGGAGACGTCTCGTCGCCGGGCCACGACGTAACATCGCGCATTTCTGACGACCCGGTCCGCCGCTTTAATTGATCGCGATCGGCGGGCCACTGAACTCACCGGTGACACTTACGCTCCGGTACGACACGACGGACGCGCGTCGAATCCGATTACGGTGACGTCGCACTGATGGCGGCGGTCTTCGAGTTTCGCGTTTTCGGACTACGGCTTACCGTCGATTCAACTTTCGGACTATAATCATATGGAGTCACGATGCGAGAAGACGTGATCCTCTCCTCTGATATACATTAAAGCTCCTGATCCGTCGCCGCAGAACTCTTGATTGATGACGCCAGAAGCGAAGAAAAGCGTGCCCAAAAATCCTACAAAATACGTCGAAACAAAAAGATATATTCAAAAAATGACACTTGCAATCGATTAAGCATACTTCTAAAATACTCCAAACACTTTCTTATTGCTCTAACGATCAACAGATAAAACCGTAAACTTAACGTGATATACAACTTTTCTTTTTAACATACATTTTATCATTATTTTGTCACGTTAATGTTACAATTATTTATTGACTGCTAAAGCAAAAGGAAAGCTCGGAATATTTTACGGGAATGTTTAATCAATTGCATGTGTCATTTTACACACATACATATTATATAAATTTCTTTTTTTTTTTATTTCGATGTACTTTGCAGGAATTTTGAGTATGCACTTTCTCGTTTCTGACGTCATAGATCAAGATAGCCGCGGTGAAGGGCCAAGAGCCTTAATGAACTTTCTCGCGTGCCATCAACTGCACTCGAGTCAAACACTCCCAGCAACTTCCGTAGAGCCTTTGACGAAAATTATTTCGTAACCTCGCTAATTAATTTCCTTCTCACCGGCACTTCCGAGTTTCACGTTCGCCATCGAGAAATTCCCGGCTCCTAGGACACCCTGTATGTAGCGCTTCGATATACCCTAATTCCATCTGGAGCGGACCTATACCGCCACGACGTGACGACGATCGGAGCCGGCGTTCCGATATCGCAAACAGTTTTGCGGCATCAAGGCCGCCTCCTTACCCGAGATCTTGTCTTGCCTCGATGACTCACGCCTAGCTGGCCGCCGCTGCCTCGCTTCCTTCCACCTTCGAGGTTGGTCGAGAGACCGCAGCGGCCGCCACCACCGCCACCGCCGCCGCCGCTTCTTGTGCTTAGCTTAGCATACCTTGTAGAACCCAACAACTGTGGTCCGCCGCGCCGGTCACTTTTTTGCCCGAGGAAATGGAGATCGCGATGGAAAGAAGAAGAGGAAGCGCGCGGAAGTCTGTTTCTTGCGATATATTTTAAACCCTTTGGGCCCTTGCTGCTTTAGTCCCACCCGGAAGAGTCGTCCTTCTTCTGAAATTCCAGTCTCGAGTAAATGTAGTGGTAGCGAGGCCATATTCATGGACAGGCGCGATGGTTCCAGGGCGATACTACACCGGACTTCGAAGTAATAAGTCGGTAGACGCTCGCGATGAAGTCGCGACTGCGATCGATGGCGTTTGACCTCTCTCGACGCGAGACGTACGGCTGGGTCGTGTTAGCGGTCATGCCGATATCGCCGAGAAACGGAATCAAAATATGTGCTATAAATGTCAAACTTCAAAATTTTAAACTTCTACAATCCCAAGCTCCTCCTCCCCAATTTTCTCCCTCCCAGTCTTCTACCTCAATATCTTCTCCTCCTCAAACTTATCCCTCACAAAATTCTATCCCCCTAAACTTCTGTCACTAATTTTTCCCAATACGCTCCCCCAATCACCTCACCCCCAATCTTCTCCCCGCCATTCTTCTCCAATCCCAAACTTCTCCAATTCTAAACTCTTCCCCTCCCAATCTTTTTCAATTTTAATCTTCTCCCTCCAAACTCTCCTCATAAACTTGTCTCCTCCAAACATCTTCCCTTCTAAACTTCTCCACCCAACTTGTCTCCCTCAAGCTTCTCTTTCCAATCTTTACTTTACCAATCTTCAACCCCCCAATCTTCTCCAACCCCAAACCTATCCCACAAAATGTCTCCCTCCAAACCTTTCCCCCAAAATTTGCCCCAAAACTTTTTCCTCAAACTCAAAAAGTAGAAACTTGCTACGTTAAACTTGCCGTTTCGAGAGCAAAGTGCAATAAGAAGAATAGTTTAAAAGCTCTTGACCCGTCACTTACATTCGTTTTCCAGCAATGAAAACTTCCATTTAAATTGATGTTGAAACTTCACTTTTGATCTTCGCGAAG